AGTGTAAGACTAGAGGGAAGGCAGCTAGTCATCACCACCCACTGCCAACTCTTTTACCAACGAATAGTGGGATTGACTATCACGTTATAACGCCCCCACGGCTGAAAGGGCGAGCATCTTTGGTGTGACGGAGATTACGAACCCGCAGATTGCGAGTTGAGTACCCTAACCACCTGGCCATCTTATTTAATAATAGATACTTTGTTTTAAATGTTTATTAAATACGGTTAAAATCGAGCTTTCTGTATGATGGGATTTGTAGATACGAACTGGTTATTATACTTATTTGGTTATATTGACTCCAATGTAAAGGGTTTTCTTTTCTATTTATTTTCTTGTGTTATGTAATCAGTATTAAAGGGTTTATTTTATGCCTAAAAATTTTTTTTTATTTCTTATTGTTTGCGTTTTCATGTATAAAACAATGGCGTATTAAATGTTGTAAAATGTTGGTTGATTTTTTCGTATTATTATTATTTAAGTTGTATTTATCGTTCATCACCCTGTGTGATTTTTTATGGACCTTGGAATATGATCACATTTTATGAAATTCGATCGAGATTTCTCAACGTAGTGCATCATCAAACTTTAACATACAAATCCGATAAACTCCTAATGATACAGTTATCACGCTAAGTCTCGTGATTCAAACAGCTTTCTTCAGTCATCCCTAATGACATTTTTTAAACCACTGAATAATAAGCTGGTACTTACAATCCCATAGCCAGGGGAAGTTCGGAGGGTGTAAACGAACACCCCATTCCCGCTGGAGTTCCGCTCGCCTATTAACATTTAGTTGGTTACTTTCATTGATAATGACCTCTCATTATATAATTGATTTTGTAATACTATGCGTCTATGTGGAAATAACATTTTCATAGTCATCAGTGATAATAAAGGAAATATTACGTATTTCCAAACATTTTCATAGTTATCAGAGGAAATATACTAGATATTGTTACGTATCTGCTTGTTTGTTAATTTCCCGTAGAAATTCTTTCCGAGAAACTCCAGCGATACAAGTCCCTTCTTGATTAAAACTAGTTTATTCTTTGTCGTTACAAACTTTGTAATATACTTAATTTCCAC